ATGAATAGCATTGTGCTTATTTTGGTGTCCATAAAGCTATAGTTTTAAAAGGACACTTATTTTTAAAGTCAATTACTAATCGAAAAAATATTTTCAGTCTTTTCTTTCAACGCTCAGAGTAGCGCCATCTACTGATGGGTTCCGAAATAAAATAATGTTAAAGTAACATTCGAGCTGTTAAGCTATTATTTCAGGGGAAAGTGTTAATATATTAGGAGTATACTTAGTTTTATTAAAAGAATAGGGAAGGATATTATCAAATTAATGAATAACTAATGATAATTATTTATATATATAAAATAAAGTCGGGTTAGTTACACCATTTATAAGCCAAAAACAGCTGGACCGATTTCTATGATCTTTGATTTGTTGGATTTGCCTCCGCCCCGAATAGCAGAATATCTATTAAAACATCAGAAAATTCACCAAACAAAAATACATATCTAATAACTATTTATATCTATTTAAAACATACGGAGGGACCCAATAAGTCGCTAGTAATTTATACATAAACAATAATTATTCCAATGATTTATTCGTAGTTGAAACACATATGTATATACGGTCAAACATCCAATCATCTTAACATTCTTACAAACTGTACACTATTTTCTTATATTAATAATATTTTTTTTTTAAATTATTAATATCTACTAGTATTAATCACACTAATATTTTAAATGAAAAGTTTAAGTATATGTACGTGTTTATTGTTTCGTAACTCCGTAACTGGCTAAAGGATTTGAGTGAAATACGCTATGAAGGTAACTTATTTCTTTTTTTAAATTAAAGAAGATTTTATAGAGCTGCTACAAGATCTAGTACAATGTAATTCCATACTGTAATTGCTCACATAATCTGCTTATTTTAAACCTATACTGTTCAAATGCTATTTGCCACTGTGCTATTATTGTTAAAGTATATAGTAATAGTAGAAGTAGTATCTAGTAGAGTTCAGCCCTTTCAAAATCTCACTTTTGGGCACGGGCCTCCCTTTAATACGAGGAGGATCAGGGCATAGTCCACCACGCTGGCCAAGTGCGGGCGGACTTCACATGCCTTTCGAAAACTTGTAAGGTTTTCTTAGACATGCAGGTTTCTTCACGATGTTTTCGTTCACGGTAAGGTGATTGGTAATCATGTTAGAAATGATTACATGAAAATATCAGAAGTGCGAGACTCGAGATTTGAACCCGCTTCACTCGGTTTCCCAAGCGAACATGTTACTACTGGGCTACCACTGACTTGTACAGTAATAAAAGTTGAGTAATTAGCATAGTATCTCACAAGAGTAAGGACCTGATTATAGACTTTAGATTACTTGTTAACTTTTAACACAAGCGTTACAAGGGTTCTGATACCTTATAACAAGCATAAAATACAATAACGCTAAAACTATATAGGTATTTAAATGTACAAAAAAAATATATACATTTAAAAATAACCATGTTTTCACCATTGTAAGAATCCTTTCAAGACTTCCAAAGATGATGGGAAAAGATTTGGTGGAACTCTTCGATGGTTTTTAAGCCATTGCCTATAATTGGTCAAATAATTGACAATTCTTCAATGATTAATCTGCGCAATTTCATTTTTTTTTTCTGGAAATCTCAAGATTCCCTAACCTCGCATTTCGAATAATATTTGACGACACGTTTGGCTCAGTTTGTAGTGACCCTACTTTCTGTGCCAGCGGTGGCAGGTTCGAGTGATGACGAATGTTTGTACTCCAGTCATGGGTGTTTATATTTATAATATGTACATATGTATTTAAAGTTATATATATGTAGTGTATCAACTATCTAGTATCCATAACACAAGCCTCGTAGCTTACCATGGAACTAGATGGCGCTGTGTGTTAATGTCCCAACGTATTTATTTATTTATTTATTATATAACAAAAATAACACGAAAAATAATAGCTAAAGAAATGGTTGTAGGGATTCGATCTTATAGTTAAAAAATACTTAAGCTGAGCTTTCGAACACATTACACACATGTCAAGTATTACGTTGGCCAAGTGTGGTTTGGTGGACTTCACATGCCTCTTGAAAACTTCCTAGGTTCTCTCAGACATGCAGGTTTCCTCACAATGTTTTCCTTCACCTAAGACTAGTGGTAATCATGTTAGAAACGATTCGCACAAAAAAATATCAAAAGTGCAAGATCCGGGATTTGAGCCCGCTTCACTCCATTACCCATGCGAGCGCGTTACCAATGGGCTACCATTTTACCCTTTAACCATTTCGTTCCTTATATTACATTTAGTCAAAAGCCCAGTTTTTTAGTTATTCTTAATAAAAAAATAACTCTCTTATTACATTATGTATTTATGTAGATGAAATAATTATTTGCAGTAATTTACTAGGTTCATATATTTAAATGGAAGATGGTTTAAAGAGCAAATTAAATCGTACTACAATAAAAGCTTAACCGTAAGAGAAACAAAAGCTTGAGCTTTTCAACTTCACAATTTCTTGTTAAGGAAATTCTAAATTAATACTTCTAGTAATCATATTATTTATTTTTATTTATAACGTTTAGCTCCGAGATGAAATATTTTCCCTCAGTAAAAAGTATCATATATGTTGACCCGGATAACCAGCTATCATCATACCAAATTTCATCAAAATCTGTCCAGTCTCGTGTCGTGTGTCGTCTCGTGATGCGGTCACAGACAGAGAGACACAAATTCTAAAAACTATAGATTCTGCCTCTGTATCGATAATAATGACTATTTCAATACGATTTTTCAAAAAATATTTAATGTACAGATTTGAGTCAGTTAGAATTTTATTATATGTATATATAAGTACTTAGCGACGCACCCCACGTGTAAGTTACAATAATTACTTCAATAACATCAAACTACGACCGTCATATCCTAATTGACTAGCTAACTTAAGCGGTAGCCATAAGTAAAGTAGAGTTATATAACTTATTAAGCAACCTCTTAGTAAACAAGTGATCCTCTAAAAGTTTTCTTTACTACATATCTACAAGCATTTATTACATTTTTAACTAGCGACACGCCCTAGCTTTTTGCTCAGATTCATCTCTAACGTTTTAGAACAGATTACATCATATGAAAACCATGGTATAAACTCATCTGTATGCAGAAAAATAATTATATAATCAAAAAACACTTTTGAACAGAAACAAACAAATTAATTCATAATTTGTACACAAAAAATTTGGAGCTACGCAAGTTACCAATAAAGTCAATAGTGTTATTAATAAATCTAAATAATATTAGTTTAGGATTAGAGCCTCAAAGGCTCTTAGAGAGAGAAAGAGAGAGAGAGAGAGTAAAATTCTTGACATAAAATGTTAATAGCAAAATGATGGCCTGTTAGATAGTCGCTGATAGAAATATATACGAAGAAAAACGAAAATAAGCGAAGGTATTACCCGGAACGAAGCGTGGAATGTAAGAGAACAAATAAAAACATTGCAATGTCTGTGCTGGACTAATCTGCTGACGATTTAGACACAACCAATTTCCAGTGGAAGAGTAGATGTTTTGATCTATAGTATAAGTCATAAGCGGTAGCGATTTTATTAAATACAAAACAAAGTGACGACACGTTTGGCTCAATTTGTAGAGTCCCTAGTTGCTGTGCCAGCGGTCGCGGGTTTCCGCTGGAACTATTTATTTGTATGATGAGCACGAATATTTGTAATCCAGCCACGGGTGTTTATATTTATAATGTGTATGTATTTAAAGTTATATAAGTGTAGTGTATCAACTATCTGGTATCCATAACACAAGCCTCGTAGCTTACCATGGAACAAGGTGGTGCTGTGTGTTAATATCCTCACATATTTATTTACTTATTTAAAGCTAATTGTCAAATTAAGTAATACAAGATGGAAAAGACTTCTCTAAAGCATATACTTCCATGTTGACATAAAACGGTGTTTTATTGATAATTTTCCATCAACTGACTGAATATTAAATTGAAACAAACTAATTTATTCCTACAGCTTTCATTTTTGTGTATCGATTGTGATTTGAACCCGCTTCACTCGAGTTCCCAAGCGAGCGCGTTACCACTGGGCTACCACTGCCTTCAGTATATATACTACTTGTATATATAATATTCTTATGTCCCGATCGATTTTCGATATTTTTTTCGATCTAGCTAAATGTAAAACCGTGTAGGGTAGCCTTGTATACTTTATCTAGATACTATACAGTATACACAGTCACGATACTAAAAAATATGATATTGCGTAAATGTAAAAAAAATCATATTTTTTTATGTAAATGTATGTAAGTTTTCCAACCGCTTATATTTATAGCATACGAGTAGCTCGCGCCGTGGCATAATGCCAGCTGCTCGCGTCCATTCATCTCTTTATGTGCTTTTGATTAACCCTTTCCTTGCATATCTAAGTGCGGAGGTGTAGAATATCCTTACAATATAGAATATTATGTATGTAAATCAGAGTTAGATATACGTATAGCAGATATAATACATATTACATAGTTACGTTCTGTTATGAAATGTAGAGTTTTGAAATTATGAAATACATACTCATCAATAATACTGCCTTAATATAAAATAAATATTCCATGTATGTATGTTTTCAACCATTTTTATCGTCCAACGGCTGGTAACAGGCCTCCCTTCAGTACAAGGGGAATCAGGTCATAGTCCATCACGTTGGCTAAGTGCGCGTTGGCAGACTTCACTTATTTTTAAAAATTTACTAGGTTATCTCATGATGTTTTCCTTTACCGTAAGACAAGTGGTAATAAAGTTAGAAATGATTCGCACATGTAAATATCAAAAGTGAGACCCGGGATTTGAACCCGCATTACTCGGTTTCCTAAGCGACAGCCACTTGGCTACCACTGCCTTAAAAAATATTCCATGTATTTATAAAATTAGCTTTTAGTTTTGTCTTATTGTTTATATTTTCCATATATGAGTAGTTTCCTAGTGTTTAAAAAAGATAAATAAATTATTTTATTAATGATTTTGTCCGTACAGTGACGAGACACGAGAAGTGGATGGAAGAGCGAGATCAGAATCTGGGGATGCTGATTCCGTGTACCATGTTCGAGGAGCCTTGACAGACACCCGTTGGAGAGAAAACCAGGTAACTTACTAGCATATTATTATACTAATATTAAAAACGAGACAGAATGTTTGTTGGTAAATTGCTTATTTTATGTAACAATTATGTATCGGAATGAATCGAAATTAGTTATTTCTATTAAACCCGTACATCAAATTGTCCTCATGGAATAATGAATAGCAGTACCGCTAAGTAGCAGTATTATGTCTTCATACAGACGAATCGTTGCAAAAAAACAAAATGTATATTTATAAAAGATTTTTTAGCCTTTTCCTTCCATACTAAATCACTACTACTTTAGAAACTAGATATAGTACTCTAAAATAAATAGAACTAATGAAAATTAAATATAGTAATAATTTAATAAAAAAATAATATGTCAATTTTATATGGAACTAGCTACCTAGCGTCACTCGCTGGCTTTGCTGGGTCTGCGTAAATGTTTCGTTTGGTCTTCAGGGACCTTAATGTATATTTAGAGTTTTTGCTTATAAATATATTTAAATTAACTCAAAAAAATGAATCAAAAGCCCTTTTTTGGTTTTTTGACGGGAATTTTTTTTTATGAAATTAAATAACGTAAAAAATTGTGAAAAGTGTGTGGAATTCAAAAATAAATAGCCTAAAACTATCTACTGACAATCCCGCGGCGATTGGTCAAAATTCTATACCGATAAATTCAGTAGTTTTTACGTTATAACGTGACAAAGGAAAAATCGTTTTCATGATATATGAATACAAGAGATAGTATGTTGTGTACAACCTTATTACATGTTTACCAAACGGTTGTCGGTAATTATTTCAAGGACATTACCGAGACAAAATACTGCTTACTTAATTATACTGTGGTAACACTCTGTTACAAAATATCGACGGAATAAAAGGCCAATGCCCTCGTTGCCCCAATTCATTGAGGTTCATTGGGGTAAGAAGCTGTCCTGAGTTATGTACAATCACAAAGTCTCTTCTTCTGCACGTTATCTGGGCTTGGTTCGTTTATAATCCCGAGTTTTTTGAAGGCGAAGGTGAATCGCTTAACAGATTTATTGTCAACTAGCATTGCCCGCGGCTTCGCTCGCGTTCAAGTGACAAAAACCAAATTCTTAGGTTTTACATATTAGTATACTCTTACATTACAGTTTTGGTATTTTTTCTCAAAAATGAAATATTTTCCCGCGGTAAAAATATCCTATATGTTGACCCGGATAACCAGCTATCACCATGCCAAATTTTATCAAAATCCTTCTAGTGATTTTTCCGTGATGCGGTAACAGACTGACAGACAGACAGACAGATAAAAATTCTAAAAACTATAGATTCGGCCTCTGTATCGATAATAATGTCTATTGCAATAAGATTTTCCAAAAAATATTTAATATACAGATTCGGCTTAATTACAATTTTATTATATGTATAGATTAAATTCAATTCTCCTGTTAATGGCTTCAAAGCGTGACAGTTGACAGATTTCTTCGCCAATGTCACGTAGAATGCAGAAGACACGAAAGAGATTGATCGGTAAAGATTTATTGTCTGAATATTGGGGCATGTAATCGTATTATCGTCGGCAGTCGTACACGTGAGGGATCACAGGATAACGGAATCCCACTGTGACACAGACGGTACAGCTACTTTTTAGTTCTTTTTTGCAGCTAGAATTTAGTAACAATTACGAATGTATTTATCTAATCGATGAGTTCCATATATTTATTTATCTGCATGTAAGACATATTTTGATCTACTTTGATTTTTTATCTTATTGAAATGAAACTTAACTAAGTTATTACAAACACATGTATAGTTAAAAAATGATCTTTGAGATTCGAGGCAAGTATTAAGAATATTACTAGCGAAGAATATTAAAACAAAAACAAACCTATCCCATGGAAACCGTATATTTTTCCGGGATAAAAAGTAGTCTATGTGTTATTCCAGACTATAATCTATCTGTGTGCCAAATTTCATCTAGATCCATTCAGTCATTCTGGTGTGAAAGAGTAACAAACATCCATCCTTACAAACTTTCAAATTTATAATATTAGTATAGATTGGTTTTTTCATGTTGCATATCCATAAATCTACAATATGTACATGAGATACGGCTGGATAGATATTAAATTACAGTTCCAACAGCTTTACGTACTCTCCCAGACACCGGTTAGTTTACTAGAACTTACAACTTCCGGGTTTCTACTGAAATTATCTGACTCAGCCTAAGCTAGCCAGTAAGCCAAGGAAACTGTAAAAATTATAAAAAATGCGAACCCCCTTAACAAAGTAATAAAACCGTCCGTTACGTTATGTATTTGTATCTATTGAAGTAATAAATTTTATATTATAGGAAAAATCCTTCTTAAAATCATTTTAAAATATTTGTTTTTCATTTAATTGATGCTAAAGAAAGATTTTGCAAGTTTACTTATGTTTTAAAAAGGAAATTAACTCAATTATTTTTTGTTACTTGATAATTTGCGCAAAGTTTTAGATGTGTAACTACAATACTTTGAAAGGTACAAAAAAAGGACTCAAAAAGTAGTGGAAAAAGATGTGGTTTCAATCTATGTATATATATAACTAGCGAATCATCCTCGCTTCGCTTTGGGTTCGTCCCTAGAAAAAACAAATATATACCACGGGAATCGTACATTTTTCCGGGATGATATATAGCCTATAGCCTTCCTCAATAAACGGGCTATCAAATGCAAAAAGAATTTTTCAAAACAGATAAGTAGTTTCAAAGATTAGCGCATTCAAACAAACAAACTCTGCCTCTTAATAATATTAGTATAGATTAGAAAAGTATCGTAATAAAGGTGAGCAAAAAAGAAAGTTGTATGATGTCATGTAGGTGTTAGGCGTATTAAAATATGATTTCCTCCTTCTTTTACAGTTCAGACCTGATAATTTCCTTATTATATTATGCTTATTTAAGCTTTTAATATTTGAAACCTCTTTACATGCAGTTATTACATCTTTAAAGGTGGAGTTTTTCCTTGAAATTTAATTCATCAGTCATTTATCCATTTAAAAAAAAATATACACTCGAATTAACCAATCGTTTTTTTAAGTCGCTCAAAAACTTGCTGTTGTTGCCCCAAACACAAATTTGTAAAATAAGAATTTTTGTATGTAATCATGCTAAATTACGAGTATAATTTCAATCTATTAAAATTAATTTTCACTAGTTAGATATAAAGGAAAATCAATATATCCCAATAAATACACGCGTTCGAATTCTCGTTAAAGTGTGTACCAAAAATACCGCTTCGATGCTGCTGTTCGACCAAGTGACCCAGATATATTGCAAGACACGCCAAGTTAAAAGTACTAAGTCTGCCATTACACTAATTACATTAAGACCTTTGTTATTTATTGCTCCACTTGTCGTTAAGAAGGCACTTTGAAATTGTATTAAATTTAACTTTTAAAGTACTTCATAGTAATAACGTTGGCTTAATTTTATCCAGTTACTAAAGACTTATTCTCGTTTCGCCTAGGTACTTCCCTGGGTCTTCCTTGTAGTGGTGGGGGGAGGGGAGGGGGGGCTCAGTAGTGCTCGGCAATACAGCCGGGCGCGAAGCCAAGAAACGGGGAGGTGGTCTACCTCGGTGGGCGGTGTGTTATGCAGGTTGCTCCTGGTACTTGTCTGATAGCAGAGTGGACTGTGAGAGCAACCCCATTGTTGTTGTGGTCTGCTACGGCAGACCTGCCGTCGGGGCGTCATAGTTGAGTGCGTAAGAGATCCTGCGACGCCCCATTAAACGGGGGATGTTCCGTTGTGTTTAAGTGGGTAGTACTGATTTTTCTAGCCAGTGAGTCCCACATAACCACCTGTATATCTAAAGGTGGTATGCGTAAATGCATTTCCCAACATTATAAAAAATGTACGTTCATATAGCGTTACTACAGTTTTCAGATCTTTTTAAGAGGAATAATTCCGTAATTTTTTCGACGTGATTTTTTCTGACATTTTGAACAGAAAACCTTAGTAAATTATACACGTAAACCTTCTTCATGAATCATTCCTTCCATTAATGAAAACCGTACGAAAATCCTTAGTGAGTAGTTTTGAGATTATCGTGTTTAGACAGACAGACGCGGCGGAGGGATTTTGCTTTATAATAATGTAGTCATAATGATAGTACTAAGGAGAGATATTTCTCATACAACTAATATGAATGGTAAAAAAGTAATATTTATATGGCTAAAATCCATACTAATATTATAAATGTGAAAGTGTGTTTGTTTGCCTTTCTTTCACGTTGACTCGACTTTTGCGGATCGGCGGATTGGCGTGATTTTTTATGTTGAGATAGTTGGAGAGCTGGAGAGTTACATAGGCTACTTTTTACCGCGGGAGATTATCTATTTCCCACGGGAAAAGACGTTATAAGGCAATCCAAAAAAATATTTATGATCCGAATTACTTGAAACTTGGTATTAATGCTCTTCATTACCATTAATTAAATACTTGTTGTAACATTTTTCGAAATTCATCCCATATGGGGGTAAAATAGCAGATGAAAGTTTGTATGAAACCTACCATTTTAGAGCTTTTTTTGTAGTTTTAGCGCGAGCGAAGCCGCGGGTTTGGCTAGTAAATTCACACCGCTATACTTTATCTTAGCAGCAACATACCAATATAATTCATTCCCTTCCTTTACTAATATATTATAGTATACATATATATATATATAAATACTAGCGGCGAACCCTCGCTTCGCTCGGGTTCGCCTCTAGCAAAACACTAATAGAAATCTATTAGTTCCCACGGGAACCGTTCTTTTTTCTGGGATGAAAATGATGAAATGGGATGAAATGTGTTGTTTGACCGGCAATATAAGGTATCAGCATGCCAAATTTTACTAAATTAGGTGCATAAGTTGTTGTGTACTAAGCTGTATAAGATACTATAGTTTTTCACCTTTCCCACGGGAACTTTTTAATTTTCCGGAATGAAAAGTATCTTACATGTTGACCGGGGATATAAGGTACCACCATGCAAAATTTCATTTAAATCAGTCCAATAGATTCGGAGATTAGCCCGTACAAACAGACAAACAGATAGGGAAACAAGGAATTGGAAAAAAATCTGGATTTGTTCTATTTGTCTTCTTACATCCCCCTGACTCGGTTTTTAGCATTTTTTTGATATGTACAGACATTCGACCTCTGTTTTATTATAGTATACATATAAGAGCGAAAGCTTTTTCACTCACTTGTACTTGTTCATAATATGAATTCCGAAAACTACTTGTTCAGTGAACCTGGAATTTGGTAGGTAGGCGGGTTTTGTCACATTGCCGAAATAAGAGGGTCTATCTTATTATATTATATATGAAAGTACCTTGTTTTTGTTGCTAGAGACATAAAGATGAGTTATTCTGATTACACATAAATTACGTGGGCGGAATCGCGGATGAAACTAGTAATATTACAAATGCGAATAATATGTTTGTTTTCCTTTAATACAGCAACATTTAGTATTGCCCGCGGCTCCGCCCGCGTTCAGATGACCAAAAACTAAATTATTAACTTTTACATATTAGTATACTCTTACATTGCAGTTTTTGTATTTTTTCTCAGAAATGAGATGTTTTCTCGCGGTAAAAAGTACCCTATACGTTGACCCGGATAACCAGCTATCACCATACCAAATTTCATCAAAATCCCTCCAATGGTTTTTCTGTGATGCGGTAACAGACAGACAGACAGACAAACAAACAGACAAAATTTATAAAAACCATAGATTTGGCCTCTGTATCTATAATAAAGTTTGTTTCAATAAGATTTTCCAAAGAATATCTAATGTAAAGACTCGGCTTAGTTACAATTTTATAATATGTATAGATTACTCTCAGCTCTGTTACGTAAAGTTGCCTAAGCACCCACTAGGGTCATTGATCTTTTATAAAAAAAGGTACTCTCTCTATCCTTTCCAGGTATCATTGAAAGAATGGAAGGCGCAGTGTTTTCCTTAATGGCTCATAATTTCACGCCAATTTATGATCGCTTGCAATTCTTCCACTTTCCCATTTAACTTAGTTTGCAAACACAACGTCTATGTAATTTTTGATGTTGTTCTTCCAATTCATATTTTACTTTAAACATTTGCTATTTTTGATGAAAACTTTGTAATATATTGTAGGATATATTTTGGAAGTTTAATAAAAAGTTCTAAAATTTCTTCATAGATTTTTATTTATCTCTATTAATTAGTTTTTAACAAAAAAACTTAACTTTCATATAATATTAGTCACAGAGATCTATATTTTTTTAATTTCATCCAATTTTTTTAACGAATTGAATCTTAAAAAAGATAACAAATATACAGATAAAGTTACTTTTACACTTATAAATATCGATTATTCTGTTTGGTCGAATCCCTACATATATCGTGTGCTGGATGATTGAAAAATACACGGTTATTATATAATTCCGGGCTTCATATATCTACTTTTCTAAAATTTTATACTACTTGAAACTATGTACTCCCCTACTCTGTTCCACAAGGTTATTTAAAAAAAGTCGAATTACGTGTTTGAATAATTGTATCGAAGGGTATTACAAAGAATTTCAAACAAAAATATAAATTGCATGAAAGCTTTGCTGCTTTCAATCCTTCAGTGTTTGAATTTCAAAAATTCTTTTACGTCATGTTACTGTAGGAATAAACTAATATTATTTTAGCTCTCTAGTTTCAGCGGTTTTATCTGAGCGTTTACGAAATAGAAAGAAAGTGCGTGTGTGTGCAATTCACACATGATAGAAGTGAAACTTAATATTATAGATATATTTATCCGATAATAAGAACGGTTACCATGGCAACATGGAAATGTATTCTGTCTTATTCTTTCGCCGGCTTAATCTATATATTTATTTGTTTGTATCTTTTTAATGTCGCCTTTCCGTTTAATTTTCGATTCATCGTGTTTCAAATCACAATGATTCTAAAGAAGTTTCACTTTAAAAATAATTTTACATGTAACTAATATTATAATTGCGAAAGTTTATGTGTATGTATGTGTTGTCACGCTGAAACGGTTGAATCGATTTGAATAAAATTTAGTAACAGATATATGACCCGTGCTCTGTAGTAACATATAGCCAGTGGTATACGGACACACTCGAGCGAAACGGGGGTATAACTAAAAATAATATTAGGTTTACTAGGATTACAGGCATGCTATACAATCTATACATATAATAAAATTGTAACTTAGCCGAATCAGTCCATTAGATATTTGAAAAAAATTGAAAATCTTATTGAAATAGTCATTATTATCGATACAGAGGCCGAATATATCGATTTTAGAATTTTTGTTTATCTGTCTGTCTGGGAACGCATAACGAGAAACCCACTGGACATAATTTGTTGGCTCACTATTACAAGGTTCTATGTTAATTTTAATAAAGTTTAATATTTTTTACATAGAACTTCGTTATTTTGTTATCGTAAAAAAACAACATAGAACTATGTAAAATTAAATATTTTGTAGTTATAGTGCCGCTATCTAGTGGTTTGTTTTTGCAAAACTGTAGCTAATGACACATAAAGCCTTGTAGCATTAATAACTAAATAAGTACTAAAATTGTAACATAGAACCTTGTAATTGTGAGCCAACGATATTTTGATGAAATTTGGTATGATGATAGCTGGTTATCTGGGTCAACATATAGGATACTTTTTACTGTGGGAATATATTTCATCTCTGAGAAATCAATACTAAAAGTTAAAATGTAATTTTAGGGACGAACGGAGCAAGGGTGAGTCGCTAGTTCGTTTATATAAAGCCAATATAGTAAGCTCTGACATCTGAGATGTATATTATATTTTTATTAGATAATTATATCAGATTATATGTTTCTTTGATAATATTTATTAAGTTTACTTGTATTTATTCTAGTGTATGTTATTCTAGTGGGTTTTTGCGTTTAATAAACATTTAGCTTTATAAATATTTAAAATGTTTTCATTTATGAACTTACTATGATTACAACAACAAGTTCGCACTTCACAGAGTGCAAGTCGCCAGCTGTTCGTAATTTGCCAACGCCAAAGTTGAGCTAACTTAGCACTGCGATATATTCAGCGAAATTTATATACATACTAGCACTGCCCGCGGCTCCGCCCGCGTTCAGATGACCACAAATCAAATTCTTAGGTTTTACATATTAGTATACTTTTAAAATGCAGTTTTTGTATTTTTCTCAGAAATAAGATATTTTCGCGCAATAAAAAGTATTCTATATGTTGACCCGGCTAACCAGCTACCATCATACCGAATTTCTTCAAAATCCCTCCAGTGGTTTTTCCGTGATGCGGTAACAGACAGACAGACAAAAATTCTAAAAACTATAGATTCGACCTCTGTATCGATAATAATGTCTATTGCAATAAGATTTTCCAAAAAATATTTAATGTACAGATTCGACTTAGTCAGAATTTTATTATATGTATAGATATAACGTTATACGTTAACGTCTATGCCAAGTTTGTTTAAATACTTTTGACAGCATTTTGTTTTCCAATATATGTACTTGATTACTTCGTTCACTGCGAAAAGTTTGAAAATATATTGTGAACCTTATTGAAAATTGAAGAGTTGTGAAATTTTAATACCAATCTATAATAATATTATAAAGGGGCAGAGTTTGTTTGTTTGAACGCGCTAATCTCAGGAATTAGTAATCCGATTTGAAAAATTCTTTTTGTATTATATGGGCTATTTAGTTTATTGAGCAAGGCTATAGGCTATATATCATATAATACATAGTATATCTATTCCATACTAATCGTCTAAGGTACCTAGGGAAAAACCCGAGAGAGGCGAGTTTGAGTCGCTAGTATTTTTATATAAACAAATAGAAATATAGGTGAAATAAGCTGTAAATCTTTAACAAAGTTTAATTTTTCAGTCAACGCCACTGTTACTTACAGAATAAACGGCTTATATTCAAATGCAATTTAGTTAAATTCTACAATTTGGCGACAATCCAATAATAGTAAATGCGACCGGAATGTTTGGCAAATGGCAGATAGATTGGGGCATTTTAAATGCTTTGGCAACTGTTATGTTTGTGTTCTCTGATCTGAAGGTGTGGTTTAAACTACCTTCATTTGCCCCTGTTTCTGAAATTCAGAAGAAAATGCTTAAATTTTTTGGTCTACTTATCACAAAGCTTGGCACGCGACCAATTTTAGAAATTTTGGCAAATATGCCACGGTGAAAATGGTTATTTTTCGGTTCTGTGATTGTCAATTTTTCTAAGATATATGCAAGAGTTCTTGTTTATTATGTGAAAATAGTAATCGTGACAAGTTTTAACTGTGTTTTTACAAAAACTTACGAGAATGCGCTGTATCTATGAATTAAAAATTTATACTAAAATTTTAGTGGTAACGCGCTCGCTTGGGAAACCAAGTGAAGCGGCTTAAAATCTCCGGGTCTCGCACCTATGATATTTTTATGTGCGAATCATTTGGAACAAGATTAACACTTACTTTACGGTGAACAAAAACATCGCCCGTACTTGGCCAGCGTGGTGGACTATGGCCTGATCCCCCTCGTATTAAAGGGATTCCCGTGCCCAGCAGTTGGACGTTAAAAAGGGTTGAAAACATACACACAAAATTTTATAGTATAAGAGCCACCCATTTTATGATTTACGAGTACATGTGAGGGCTGACGAGTGATATAGGCTACTTTTACCGCGGGAGATAATCTCATTCCCACTTACTTAAAATTATTATTAATACTCTTCAATACAATTAAATAAATACGTGTTTTAGCATTTATGGAAATTTTTCCCATAAGAGGGTAAAATAGGGGATGAAAGTTTGTAGGAAACCTACCTTTTTAGAACCTTTCTATGGAATTTTAGCGAGAGCGAAGCCGCGGGTTCTGCTAGTTAGATAATAATAAGAAAGTTTTAAATAAAATATTATAAACAGTATTGAAAAGAAAATATAAAAAACACAATTTATAAATATTACTTATTTACAGACTGCATCGTCTCGTCGTCAGAAGCGCGGTTGGGCGGCTGTCAGGGCGTGGTGTGTCGCGTGGTGGCACTCGGGGAGAGAAGATCTGGAAGATACAGAGCCTGAAGAGGAACCATCTGACCCTGGTTATGCTACTCCAGTGTCTGTGGAAACACCACTACAGAGCTCAGTGTCCAGGTACTGAATAGTTATTAGCGACTTTCACTCCCTTCGTGTTTACCTGTGTATGAGAGAATTGACCTTTTGTAATTATAATATTATATACGTCAGCGCCATCTTTTGGCAAATATTATTACTACAGCAGCCTACCGTCTCAACATGTGTACTAAATTTTATCCAAATTCGTTCATTTCAGTCCCAACCGTTTCAAAGTAATAAAACAAAATTTTACATATGAAATAGTAGTCAAATGTAGAAGTGTTATTTTTATGCTTTTTCAAAGAGCAATATTGAAATCTAATTCATATTTTATGGTGTTAGATTTACGAATATCTTTAATGTATAAAATTATGTCTTCATAATCACTTCATATAATGACTGTGTATTCTAGTCATGTTTTTATTCCTGACAGATGCACTTCGCTAAATGTCATCAGGGACCCATACGCAGGGCGTGGTGGTTCAGGAGGCTCGAGTGTTGCAGACGGAGGGACATCCCCTCTTCGCCGCAACTATGACCCACCTGTGCCAATACCCGCGGCGCGGGACAGCCGGTCGTTGCCCCCAAATACTAAAATAAATGCTACTACCTCGCCAGCACCAAAATCTGCATCTGCAGATTCTGTTTACACAATTCTCATTCGATTACCTGACGCTGATACAGAGCGACCTAGTATAAAAATGATCACCGAAGAATCTCCCCCAGCAAACACTAGACCACATTACCGACCAGCCAGAGGGGACTCTGAGCTGAATCTGCATCCAGCAGCCCACCCAGCTTTAACGAGGCGGACGTCGCATATACAGGATGTTCGAATTCCTCTAAACGCAAAAATAATTCCTAAGCAATTAGCAAGCAAAGGCATCACATCGAAACAGCCAAAGAAAAAGAAAACTCAGGAGAAAAAGCAGGAAACGAAAGCGGCGAAAACTCTTTCCGCCATCCTCCTATCTTTCATCATCACTTGGTTGCCTTACAATATCCTCGTGTTGTTGAAACCTCTCACAGCTTGCGCCAGATGCATTCCAGACGAGTTGTGGTCATTTTTTTATGCTCTATGTTACATAAACTCAACTATAAACCCTGTTTGCTACGCTCTATGCAATGCGACGTTCAGGAGAACGTATGTTAGGATTTTAACCTGTAAGTGGCATAACAGAAATAGAGAAGCTATGACTAGAGGAGTGTACAATTAATGTTGATATGGACTTTTTAAAATTTTAAACTTACAAATATCCCAGTGGTTAATGAAAGTATGAATGGAAGGTGCCAAGATAGTAATTGCCCAATTTTGGTACCCACCGATTAAGTAAATACTAAGTTAAGACGTTTTATAGAAATTGAATAATCGGTGTCACATTTTATATAGTAGTTTACCTAGATAAAATTAAAAAAATATATAAAAAAATCTTTGCTCATTTCTTTTTAAAGTATTTTATACGTTGTTATGGAAACTTTTAGATAGTGCAGGAAAAGGTCATTTTAAACTTAAATCGCTATATTGCGTGTGGAACGTCTTAACTTGGTCTTTAAGACCTATTATTGCACATTTTGCTCTCTTAAGTGTAACTGTTTTAACGTTTTGAATATTTTGAACCATCATTTTAAATGTACCTTTAGTTATATTATACAATATCGAAGCAATTTTATTTTGTTAGTGAGTTTGAAGTCCCGTCCATTATGAAATTCGTTTTATTCGTTGGGTCTCCTCGGATGCGTTCTTTAAGATTATTTCATTTCCTAATCTTCTGTTCTAAGAAGATCAGAATTGAAACCAAATGTTAGAAACGTATTGCCATATAAGAGTGAGTAGTTTAGTTTAGTGGATCTTGCGACCGACGTGGTGTAATATAGACTTAAACATGCTAAGGATTTCTCTAGTCATTTTTAAACGTGTTCGGTAAAGTGTGAGCTTGTAGGGTTAAAGTTGACGAATTTAGTGCATGGATCGATTTCTTTTGCATTCAGTTTTCGTGTTAACGTATCCAATTTGTAAATTATTTTGCTGTATATATTTCTAATATTATGTACTACTATGCTATGCATTACAAACATGCCATTTTCATTGATAAACTAAATGGTTCCATTGAAAAACTCTGCCCTATCGGAGTCTCTGATTTTTGATAAGTTCTATAATTATAAGAATCTAAGCAATATTATAACAATTTTCTTGTGTGGTTTTTATGTGAGATTGCTTTGAATTGAGGAAATGTTTTCAATAATAGATATATTTTGGAATGTGGTGTTATTCCAAGTTTTATTCGGTCATATTTGGACTTCCACAAAGTACCTGCTTACAACTTTTTCGGACTATAAATGTTTTATGCTATTCGAGTAACTTTAAAACTAGGCATTTATCCTTTATCTTCTAGTAAGCTGTCATACAACGACTTCGGAGATGTATGTAGGAGTGAATTCTAGATTTACAGATTTTTTGTGGGTATTTAAGCCCTATCTAATATCACAGTGTTAGACATTTTTGTCTTTTTGCATAATTTTTGTGATAAAGCCATTAACGAATTCAAGGTAAAATATAAAAATATAAATATTAAAATCACTAACTATGACTGATTACATGCCCTCAATAATTGAAATTAAATAGTGTATTTAGAAAAAATATTATTTATTTGTAATTTTTTACATAAGGTTGTTTCCCTGAACTTTTAAAATAAAATATAATCGTATTATATATATCAATACATACCTATTTGTTTTCAGTCATAGAAATTAAAAGAAATATATGTATGTGTGTAGTAAAGTAAGAAAAGAAGTTAATATGAATTCTAAATTTGGTGTTTATTTAATAAAAATGTAAATATTTATTATGTAAGTTGCATTTGTATCGTATAGTCGGATTATATTATACGTATATACAATTGTAAATCTGTGTCGTGGAACGTTCCTTTGTTAATATTTTATTGAAATATTTGAATATATTGTATGTTTAGACATAGTTAAAAGTTTTATACGGGTAAGGTGAATTACGCATTTTACTCCGATTATATGAAATTGGTAAAATATACAAACTTTAAAAATACATATTATATAGTTTTGGATTTTATAAATAATCCTTTTTTTTCTATTTTAATAATATTTATATAATAAATTTTCTGTTAAAGTAGTAGGTTTTATATAATTTATTTCAATTTACACATCTATTAAAAAACTATATCCACAATCAGCGACAAAAAATATCCTCACCGAATAAGCGCTCATTTGAACATTTGAGCGTGATTTTAATATATAGTTTTTTTTGTGAAAACAACTTTAAGCACTGTATTTAAGGTTCAATTTACATTGTTGTATATTTATTTCCACTAGAATAATTACCTAAACACAATTGGTGACAGTTTTAAGACAACTTTTGCATGGGATTGTGCATCTAGTACTTTTTTGATTTCACATACTATTAATAAGTTAACCATTCGTAGAAACATGGAAGCATTATTAACGGCAACAAAATGCGTAATTCAGTGTGTACATTAACAATTTACAAAGGTCAAAAATTATTACAAATAATAATAATAATATTATTATAAAATAATAAAAGATTTTTTAAGATTTTTAAATTAACGTAATATTTAATATATGTAATATATAGATTTCTTGCACGTATTATATCTTAAATTTAATCGAATCTTATACTATTTTGTGAATTAGGTAATAAAAAATGATTTGTCATGTTAAAAGGAAACCGAATGATTCAAAGTAACATTCGATAGGATCGTAAAGTTTATAAAACTTCAGTCGGAATAGTAAGCTCGTTAGACCGATTCATGGTGTGGAAAATTGGTTAAATTTTTACCGAAACAACTTCATTTTGATATTTTAGTTATTCAAAAGCTGCGAAATTCTTTGTATATATTGGTGGATGCTTTTGGGAGAGTGCGGATATATATAAAAAAATAATAATTACTCCACGTCCGTACATACATATTTGATTTTGCTATGAGAAAACTACTTTTCATAGAAAAAAAACTATTAAACTTGCATTCACTGAGATCTCAATCAACATTCAAATCATCAAAGCTATTGGAACGTAAATTACTCTTGAAGAAACATAAAAGGAAGTTACAACAGGTAAAGTATCCAGTTTTTCTAGTATCGAGCATAATTTACCATTTTTCAGTCGGTGAATTAATTTTTATTTGTAATAACTTTTGGTCATTTTTAAATTCTATACTATTCGTATTGTCAATGCGCACAGTAATGTATCTAGTTAATAATATTAAAGGATATTTTTTGTGAATGTCTTACAATTTAACCGAATTGTGTTGTAGATATCGTGTAGATGTATTTTCTATAACGTGTACGATTTGAAAATTGAATAATGGAAGTTTTAGTTCATTTGACAGCCAGCAGCATTTTAAATAAAACATTCTTTTTGGATTATTTCGATGGCTTATTTTGTTTTTTGATTCTCAACGTTTCGAATGCTTTACAGCAATTATGGTCACGGGAGAGAAGGTTTTAGACGTCTCAAAGGTAATTTTATACTTGTTACAGAGAGTGCCTACCCACTAATTTAAAAATGATTTCAAAAATACAAAAATGGCACCATTTTTGGCATTCATTTAAAATTACAAATATTTAATATAAATAAGTATTAAGTTATCAGTTTAGCTAAACTGCATATTATATTATTAGAACTAGTAAAAAATAAACATAACCAAATACAAATATTTTTCGTGTTAAATCATAACAATTATAAAAAAACGATGTAGTAACAAATATCAATTATCTTATAATCTCAGCATTTTATTCTGTAAGAAGTCTCAAACAAGTCAAATAAAAATTACAACAAATGATTAAAAGACTAATAATTGAATAATCCTGTCTCTATACTGACCTACAAATATGTTATACTAGTGGCCTACCCTTGCTTCGCTTGGGTTCGCCTCTAGAAAAACAAAACTATCCCACGGGAAACGTACATTTTTCCGGGATAAAAAGTAGCCTATGCTATAGCTATTCTAGACTATATCTTTGTGTCAAATTTCATCCAGATCCGTTCAGTCGTTCTGGCGTGAAAGAGTTACAACATCCAACGAAACTTCCAAATATCTAAACTTTCACAATTATAATATAAGTAAGATCAGCAAAGCCGTATGTAGTATAAATAAAAAATTAAAAACTAAAATTCGTATAAATCTTACTTTAAAACTACTTAGAGTACCAAAATCGTAATTGCTTTATCATTTGGCTTGCCATAACTTGTTTTCGTTCTATACATACGTCTAAAGTCGGTGATAGACGTACGGGCAAATACGCGTAGATATGGTTCAACAGATTTTACGTTTAAACTACTCAAAAAGTATTTTGGCGATCGAACCACTTTGAAATTTTGCTCGTAATTCACAAGTTTTTCGATGCTGCAAGGTAAGAAGGCTTCTGATGTGGACCGACCTGTAAAACGCAAACTTTAAATAATGTGATTTTATAGCTCGTACATGTGTCACCTCCTTTAGTTTTTCTTCTCTAATAATTTATTTATATATATTATAAAAAATATATTAAAACTCAAAAAACCTTGCTATGTGAGATGATTAACGAGCAAAAATATAAATACGAAGTCCGTGACAAATGTATGGGAATTGAACCCATAACAACCTTTACAGAGGTCACTTTCATGTAAGACTACAAACTTGTGTTAATTAATTTTAACTCATTCTATCAAAATCAGTTCATAGATAATATTTATTAAATAATATCTGTATTTATTAAATGTTACAACCCGCACTTGGCCAGCTACCCTGTTGAATAACACCAATAAAATCCCATCAAAAGTGACAAAAGCCACAGAAATCAAGATATATGTATTGGTTTCTATGTGGTTTTTGTCGCTTTTGATGGGATCCTATTGGCGTTTTTGAATAGGGTAAATGGACTATGACCTGATCCTCCTTGCATTGAAGGGAGGCCCGTGCCCAGCAGTGGGACGTTAAAAAGGGCTGAATACAATAGCTATATATGTATTTAATCTCACGTAAAATCATATAAAACCTACATAACACGATGCTGTAAATATTAACAAAGTAAATTATGGACCGCAGCTTCCTTTATTAGTTTAAAATCGTACACCTAATTCAAATTAATGTACATAGTTTTAGATATCACAAAATCTCCATATAAGAGTATATATTTCAGTCTGGTTATAATATTAGATGCATTTATATGAAACTACGAATCCTAA